TGAGCGTGACTGAGGGTGGCAGCGCAACCTCATGATCTGCCCTGTCTGTGCATGTGCCCCAAATCCCCAATCAGCCCTGCTCTGAGCCCTACCAGGGGCTGCACCTAGGGAATGGGCCTGCCCTCTGCCACCCGGGAGTGGGCCTAAGCCAGCAGGTCATTATCTCCCAAGGGGTCCCAGACTGTGCGAGGGCACAGGTCAGGCTGAGGGACCCCCTCTCCACCCCGAGTGCACAAATTTTTGTGCACTGGGCCTCTAGTATGTATATATATATATATATATATATATATATATATATATATATATATATATATATATATATATATACCTAATATGAAAATAGACTGAATGGCAGAACAACCAAACAACTGGTCACTATGATGTCTGTTGACCTCCAGGGGGCATGCATGGAACATGGCAGGCATTGGCAGCAGGCGGCACAGCACAGAACATGGAGGGCGTTGTCTGCAGTGAGATGGTGGAGCATGTGAGCAGGGGTGCCAGACCAAGGCGGGACACTGGTCGCTGTCATAGGGGTGAGACTCTTGTGGTTACTGAAAATTCTTTGCTCCCACACAATGTGGTCGTGCCCAGTGCTTGCTCCCACTGCCAGCACCTGGTGCCGGTCCCGATCACTCTGCACTGTCAGTGGGTTCAAGCAGCAGCTGCTCGCTCTGATCACCCCTCAGGGCTTCTCCTGAGGGGCAATCAGGGCAGCAGCTGCTGCTTGCACCTGCTGATTGCACTGGCCCCAATTGCTCAGCGCTGTCAGCAGGGCTGCTGGCAGACAGTGGGAGGGTACAGAAAATGGGCAAAGACCTGCCTTTGTGCCCACTGCAGCCTCGCAGCCCACAGTTCCTTTCAAGGTGCACGAATTTGTGCACTGGGCCCCTAGTATGTATATAATAATCTTTTGTGAGTATGTATGTTTGTGAGGGTGTATGTTAGCATTGTGTATGCAAAATATTGGCTTAGAGTTTTGATTTCTTATGTGTATGTGGTGAGTGCTCATAGGATTTTAAACTGAATTGTCAGTTTATTTCTAACAACCAAATCAAGTTCATATAAATATCTTTGTTTATTTGTTTTATATAAATAATAAGTTTTGTTAAAATTTTGATTTAGTGAGTGTTTTGGTATCACACATAGTCATTCTGTGTGTAATATCTGGTGCTGATTGAAATGGTTAATGCTTTATATAAAAATATGCAACTTCCCTATTTTTCAGTAGTGGAATCAGTTCTGATTCACATCCATTGCATTCACGCAGTCATTTATTTTTCACAGGTGTAACCAATTATTTGGTTTTCAAGGCCTATACTAGTAATACATTTAACTAAAAATAAGAGTGATATTATAATCTGTGTTCACTGAATACTTTTTAAAACTAAGATTAAGAGATAATTTAAAAGACAAAATACCAGATTACTGTTGGGCAATAATATAGGATAATTTTTTGTATAAGTAACCCAAATAAATTTACAGAAATGTGTATTATTTTAATTTGAGTGTTATCAGTCAGGATTCAATCGGAGAAGCAGAAACACTAGGAAATAATAGATGACTGTTATTTCAGTGCCTGGTGTCAAAGCCTGAAGTCTGCAAGGTGTGCAGTTAGGAAAATAAAATGGAAACAAAGTGGGGAGATTAAGGGCATGCAGGAACTGGTGAGACTGAACTGCAATGCACAAGGGCATACAGAAAACCTCACTTGTCTCTGATCACTCCTAAGTCTCCAGCTTCGAAGACTTTGATGATGGGGATGTTCTGCAGGCAAAGCATCCACCCTTCATCAAATATAAACACATCCCTAATGGGGAACCAGAGAAACTGAAAAAGGAAAATCTGGAAGTTTTCTAGAGCTTCCCTGATAAAGTACCACAAACTAAGTGGCTTAAACCCAATAGGAATGTGTTACCTCACAGTTCTGGAGGCTGAGTCCAAAATCAAGTTGTCAACAGAGACATGCTCTAGAGGAGGAATCTCATCTTGTTTCTTCTAGCTTCCTTGATATTTCTGGACATTCCTTGGCTTATAGCTGCTTCACTCCAACCTTTGCCTCAATTTTCACACATCCTCCTCCCTTGTTTGTCTGTGGCTCTACTTATAAGGATATCAGTGTTATTGAATAGAACTCAAATCCAATGTGACTTCATCTTACTTGATTATATCTGCAGAGACCCCATTTCCAAATAGATCACATTCACAGATCCCAGGGTCTGGGACTTCAACATATCACTGGGGGTCACATTCAACACATATGCCTGGCTTGTTCCTGACACTGGGTAGGTAAGGTAGCAAATACAACAGCATGTGCATGTTACAACTAATCTCCCTGGCATAAAGGGATAGCACTGATTATCCATTTTCTCTATCCACACCTTGCATAAATGTCTCTTTTGATCCATACCAGCAAGGAACTGTGCACAATTTCTCCATTAATCTGCAATTTCACCTCTGTCTATCTGTCATCTACATCTATCTATCCATCATCTATCTATTATCTATCTATCTATCTATCTATCTATCTATCTATTATCTATCTGTGGATCTGCTTGGAACTGCAATTACACAACTTTCATTTTAATTACTTAGAAGATAATTTTTCTTATTTTGCCAAGATTTGAACAACTTTCCATGATAATTCTAGGTGGTGGTAGTTCTGGATCCTTTACTCTGAAGGCATACCTTATAGGAATCCAGCTTAATATGGACTGTGTCCTTTGGTAGTCCTCACTTCAGAAGACCCAAGGTTTCTTATGCCACTCAAGGCCATCAAAGCAGAAGTTTTGCTTATCCATTAATTGGTAAATACTTTTAGGGCAAAAGTGACTTCAGGGTTTCACTTACTTCTCTAAGTTCCTAATTCCCTTAAACTGATTTTTTGCCTTGCTGGATCTTTTGTGGTTAAAATAAAATTTATTCCATTGATTTTTTTAGAGAGAGTGGAAGGAGCAAAGGGAGAGGGGAGAGAGAGAGAAACATTGATGTGAAAGAGACACATTGTTTGATTGCCCCACACACTGCCTGACCTGGGCCAGTGATCAAACCTGCAACCCAGATATGTGCCCTTGACTGGGAATCTAGCCTGGGACCCTTAGTTGCTCGGGCCGATGCTCTAACCACGTAACAACACCTGCCAATGTGGTTAAAATCATTTTTAAATACGTATATCTAGCTATTTTGATATTTCTAGCAGAATGATTCCTCCAAATAATCTAGTCCACTTTTTTCCTAGAAATAGAACTCACAGATTTTTTTTAAAAAAATACTAGACAGAATGATTTTAATGTTTATATGAATATATAAATAGAAAAAAATGCTAATGATGAAAAAGATGGGACTAACAAGCCATTAGAATGAATAAATTATATGAATGAGGTATTCACAGTTAAGAAATCACAAAGGACCAATAAACATATGAAAAGAAAAACATAGATAATTAAATAACATATAACAAATTATATGAATGAGCTTTATCTGAACCTAAGGTAGGATGCACAAGAGCCAGACCCCTCTGTTCAATGATGTCTTCTTGAGAGGATATTGAAGCTGCTTTTTAGCATTTTTATCCTAGGAACACCATATTCAATTCATAAATTAATAATTTAAGGGCCACATGTTTAAAACATTACATTTCTTATTTTCCTCTCCTCCATGTCTCTTTGCCTCTAAGAATCTTGCTAACACAGCACACAACACTTTTTCCTTCAGGCCACTGCACAACCGCCTATTTTGCATCTACATTTCCAGAAGTAAGATCCTAAAGCACAATCCATATACATCAGTGATTTTTAAATGATCATCGATAACTTGTTTCTAGCAAATAATCTATTTGACTTCACAGCTTTTTTATACAGTAATGGAAAAGTTACGAAATAGCCAGGGGAAGACTTTAATTTTTCTTCCTGGAAAATGTAGAAATGGATTAAACCGATTTATGAACTAAATTAATGTATTTGGGTACAATTTAAGGCCAATTGTTATGCTGACTTTCATATATGATTTTGATGTGTTAGACTATTTTTAAGGTTTTTCTCAATTTGTTTTCACACTGAAATCCTCTTCAGGAGGAGATATGCAATTCAAATATCACATAATTTAAACTATAGCATACCCAAATTCTGTCAAATAGGGCTACCACATTTTGGGGGTCTCCTATTAGTCTCATTATTTACCTATTATTATGCCAATCCCATTTCAAAGGTGGTTTTAAAAATTCCAATAAAGGACTGGTGGCTTTTTTAACTTTTAAATTATTTTTTCTTCACTTTTCAAAAAGACATTAAGTTTATGCTGTTTTCCTATCAGCACATTTGCAATTAAGAGAAAATTAATCTTACTTGTTCTTCTCATTACTTATCAGAAGAAAACATTTTTTTTTTCTCTCTGGGCTATTCTTCCTCCATTTGTAAAATAGAAAAGTTCTACTAGATCTCTAAAATTTTTAGATTGAAAATTTGAATCCTCCAAATAGAGTGATTTAACTGAAAAATATTCAATTGTTTACTACTTTCAGCTCATATTTTATTTTTGTTATTAATTTTAGAGAAAGAGAGGAAAAGGGGGGGGGAAATCAATGTTAAAGAGATCAATTGTTGCCTCCCAAAAAACCTAGGATTGAACTGTAACCTGGGTATGTGCCCTAATGGGAATTGAACCCGCCACCTTTTGATGTATGGACTACACTGCAGCAAATGAAATGCACTCACCAGGGCCATCCATATATTCTTCCTCCCTCCTTCCCTACCTCCCTTCCTCCCTCCCTCCCTTCCTTCTCTCTCTCTTCCTTCCTTCCTTCCTTCCTTCCTTCCTTCCTTCCTTCCTTCCTTCCTTCCTTCCTTCCTTCCTTCCTTCCTTCCTTCCTTCCTTCCTTCCTTCCTTCCTTCCTTTCTTTCTTCCTTGTCCTGCCTCAGGTTTATTTGTACAAATAACACAGGAGGACACCAGCTCCATGCAGACAGCAGCCCAGAGGTCATATCAGTCCTTCCATCCTCACATCAGCAGACAGAGGCCTCTACTATGGAGCCTTCATTGGGGGCCTGGGCACCTTTGGGAGCAGGAGCCTGAGGAGAAACCGCACCCACACCCTGGGGCTTGGTTTCGACATTGGCCTTGGCCTTTGGCCGGCAGAGCCTGAGACCCTTGGCGATGCGGGCAGGAGCACCCTTCCCAAACTTGGTGTGAGTGACGTAGACAAGCCCACCGAGCTTGCACCTGCTGCCCTTTAGGAGGCTGGGCTTGACCTCCTTGGGCTCGACAAGGGCCTTGATAACCTCAGCACATGCGATCATGGTCTTGGTGTTGTTGGCCTGCATTTTCTTCAGGCCCTTCTTGTTGTGCTTCTTGGCAAAGCACAGGTTCCCTAGGAACTTGGGGTCTACCCCCTTAAGAAATTCATTTCTTCGTGATAGAGGTTTGATGCCATTTCTGTGCCATTTTGGGGACTGGTTGTGCCTGGTGTGGTTCTTGGACTTGGCCATCTCTGCCCCGAAGCCTGTGGCTCCCTAAGCATCTGGGGCCAGGAGCAAAAGAGCATCCATATATTCTTAACGGCTATTAATATCACCACATGTAAGGTACCTTCTTCCAGCTACCAATTATTTTCATTTGTCTTAGTATTCAGATATACTAATTAAATTTCCTAAGTTAACATATACCCAGCATGATTCTTCTTAATGATAAGTTGGATGCTCATTTAACCACTTTTATACCTACTACTACTTGGGATTTTACAATATAAAGACAGTGATATATCAAAAAGTTAATATGGGCAATCAACTATTTGTAACATATGATTTCTAAAAATGTCTTAGAGATCAACAAAACAAGCTGTGGGGTTGTTTCCTGTGTATAGGAATTTCTTTTGATGGTGAATTTCGGTTTTATGTAATTGAATTAAAAGTAAAGTCATTCTGGCCATCATGGTTCAGTGGTTGAGCATCGATCTATGAAGTAGGAGGTCATGGTTTGATTCCTGGTCAGGGCACAAGCCAGGATTGTGAATTTGATCCCCAGTGTGGGGTGTGCAGGAGGCAGCTGACCAATGGTTCTCTCTCATTATTTATGTTTATATATCTCTCTGTCCCTCTTCCTTCCTCTCTGAAATAAATAAAAACACCTTTAAAAACAAACAAAAAAACCTAAACTCCATGAAAATTTAAAGATACAAGTCAAAAAGTTGTCATAAACACTCCAGCAAACATTTTCACCAAAGGACAACAAAAAATTGAAATTACCTCAGTAGTATATCTTCTAAATATATAAAAAAAAAATTAAAATACTTTATGGCATGCATTTTAACAAAAGATATTCTTGCTAGACCTCTATCACTAAGAGGGCAGAAAAACAACCCAAAAAGAGACATCTATTCTTCTGAAAACAGTAACACACACACACACACACACACGGTTCAATATCATGTCTAACAAACAGTAACTAAAGTATGTAAGTGAAGTCAGTGTTAGAATATGTGAGTGGCTAGTAAATTAATGATTGTGATGAAAATGACATGTACTCCCACTCAGCAGCAAGCACAAGGGGAATACAGAACTTTGGGAGATAAAGGTACAGAGCAAGAGCACAGGAAATGAAGGAGTCACTACTGTGTAGCTCATCTTAATCCCACTCTCCACTGTAAGACCTAGCTTTATGGTGAAAAAGTAAGCGCTATCTTATTCCCTGTCTTGCTCAAGTATGTAACAGGCAGTGAGGGAATCTAACTTTAAGGTAATGCCCAACACATGTTGGCCAGGCTTAGTTAGAAAGACGCAGAAATAAGGAATAAAATCCCATGATGTCATAATAAAGACTGACAAAATAGCAGTCAGAAAGCATTACAATTCATAATCGTTATCTAATAATTTCAAGACATGTTATGTAGACATGCTTGTTTGGGCCAAGAGGAATGGAGAGTGTTGAAGGTATCAACTACTCTTCTTTGATAATCCTCTTCCCCTTTTCAGGTCTCAGACTTGAGCTAAAAATGTTACAACTATTAAAATGCTTTTAACTGCAAAAACAGAAAAAAACTCAAGTAAAATGAATTCACTTAAAGGAAATGACTTATGCACTTAAAAATAAACCCAGATGTTTGGCAGATTCAGGCACAATATGGCTCTGGCCCTGCTATTCTGCAATTGGCATTGTTCTGCTCTCCCACGTGTTGACTTACTCTCAAGCTGACAGCAAGCACCTACATGAGGTCAGCAGTTACAGTCAGGTACCTAAGCACAGAGAATCTTTCTATTTCCATGACTCTTTCTCAGAAGTTGGAAACAATTTTTTAAAAAGCCACCCTATAGACTTCCTTTCACATCTTAATTTCCAAATTTGAGTCCATCCTTAAATCCCAGCATAAAGAGTGGATTAGATCAGGGATATTAAACCTTTTTTATATATATATTATGGCACACACAATCTAATTCTGTGTCATACCAAAGAACATATTTTTTGTTGATCTGACAAAAAATAAGTATAATTGTAATTGATTTGCCAAAAAAAAGTAATTACCTACTGTTTTTGCTCCAAAGTGACTTTTTAAAAAATAAGGTACCTATACTTGTATATAAGACTTTCTGGTACTAAGAATTAACCAATCAGATGCAAACTTATGCTATGTGACCAATATGATGCAACTCTGTTATATGACCAATAGGTTTATGGTTCAAAATAGGGCATTCACACTGGATGGCTATTGTTGTGTTAGTTGTTGTCTTTTTCTTCTTATTATTTGACAATCTGAGGGGAAAGAGGTCAGTGCCCCTGGTTAAATAGTCATGTACTGCATGTTTTAAAAATTCTTGTGCCATATTGGTTGAAAATCATTGGACTAGGTTTTAAATAAAGGAGAGTTGGTCACAATAACTACAATTCATATAAAAAAATTGACCTTAACTGTAAACTTTGACTTTATTTACTTTTGAAAATGCATCAAACATCATAGCAATACAGTAAACTGGTCGACTTGAATTCAATGAACCAAAGATCAAGCCCTATGTGGCAGTTTATTTGGTTGGTGAGTAAATATCATTCTTTGACCTTTTTCTGAAACAACTTTTATCTGTGGCATGCTGTGCCATACTCTTAAACACTCTACTTTTGTAATCCTCAAGTTTATAATCTAGATGTGGGTGTAAATGATTTCCTCCCCAGAAGGGAGCTACATTTATAGGTCTCCCTCCTGCTTCAATAGTGTGTCAAAGCATATTTATGTTTTCTTCAGAACACTTACCATACTTTTAAATTATATATTTATTTGATTACCTTTTCAGAATTTACTTTCCAAGTAGGCTCCAATTTCCATAAGAATATAAACCATGTTCATTTTGTTAACTACTCTGGAGTAATGCATACCACTATGTCTAGCACTTAGTAGGAACTAACTAAACGTATTGAAAGAAAGAACTAAATAAATATCTCCACATATACATACTATACACACACACACACACACACACACACACACACATATATATATATATATATATATATAGGTATAAAGAGTCTATATCATAAACATTTTTATACCAGAGATTTAATCTACACTAATAAAAGAGAAACATGGTAATTGGCGTACGACCGCTACCCTTCCCATTGGCTAATCAGCGAGATATGCAAATTAACTGACAGCCAAGATGGCGAACGGCAGCCAGGCAGCTTAAACTGAACATGAGGCTTGCTTGCTTCAGTGACGGAGGACTCCAACGTTCCCCGCCTGCTGCTGCAGGCCTCTGAGCCTGCAGTTTGAAACATAGTAACATAGAGAAGCTAAAAAAAACCTCCAGAAACCTGCTTTCAGCGAGCTGGGATCTCAGAGCGGGAGTTGATACAGAGTTTCGATTGTAGAACACAAACAAGTCTGGGCCGGAGGGTTTCCGCTTTCCCAGCAGCAGAGGCCACAGAGCTGGAGCCACAGCTAAAGCTGGCCCAGATTAAAAAAAAGAAAGAAAGAAAAAAAGGAGCAGTTGGGAGTTTCAGTCACCCGACTGAAAACAGCCCTCAGCCTCTCACCCAGACTGGCCAGGCACCCCAGTGGGGACCCCCACCCTGAAGGGTGTGTGACCAGCTGCAAACAGCCATCATCCCCTCACCCAGGCTGGCCAGGCACCCCAGTGGGGACCCCCACCCTGATCCAGGACACCCTTCAGGGCAAACCACCGGCCCCCACCCATGCACCAGTCCTCTATGCTATATAGTAAAAGGGTAATATGCCTCCCAGCACTGGGATCAGCGGAGCCGAGAGGCCTCCTGGCACCAGGATCAGCGTGACAGGGGGCAGCGCCCAAGCCCCCGATTGGCCCTGCTCTGTGTGTGACAGGGGGCGGCGCCACAACTCCCCTATCGGCCCTGCTCTGTGAGTGACAGGGGGCAGCTCCTCAACCGCCTGATGGGCCCTACTCTGTGCGTGACAGGGGGGAGCTCTCCAACCCCTTGATGGGCCCTGCTCTGTGTGTGACAGGGGGGAGCTCCCCAACCCCCTGATGGGCCCTGCTCTGTGCATGACAGGGGGCAGCGCCCCAACCCCTTGATTGGTTCTGCTCTGTGCGTGACGGGGGTGGCACTGCAACCTCCCCATTGACCCTGACTTAAGTGTGACAGGGGGTGGTGCCCAACCCCCAATTGGCCCTGCTCTGAGCCCGACCAGGGGCTGTACCTAGGGATTGGGCCTGCCCTCTGTCACCAGGGAGCAGGCCTAAGCCAGCAGGTCATTATCTCCCGAGGGGTCCCAGACTTCGAGAGGGCACAGACGGGCTGAGGGACCCCCCTCCCCCCCCGAGTGCACAAATTTTTGTGCACCGGGCCTCTAGTATATTATAAAAGACTGCAAATAATCACCTTAACATGGGCTTTAATGGTATTGGGACAAATAACTATTGCTTGTCAGTAAAATCTTATCTCATACAAAAGACAATGACATTTTATGTGGACTCAATATCTGACCTTTACAAATTAATTATATCCTGGACAGTGTTTCTCAGTGGTTAGAGCATCGTCCTGCATACCAACCAGTTGTGGGTTCGATTTCTGATCCAGGTCATGTACCTGAGTTGCACGTTTGATCCCCAGCCCTGATCAGAGCATGTGAGGGATGCAACCAATTAAGGTGTCTCTCTCACATTGATGTTCCTCTCTCTTTTTTTCTCTCTCTCTCTCACCACTCCCTTCCACTCTCTAAAAAATCAATGGAAAATATATTCTCTGGCAAGGATTAACAGTAACAACAAAAAAGAATAAAAGAACATTATTATTAGTTAAACCAAGACAACAGGTACAAACTGGTAGTGCTAGGGGAACATGAGGGTGGATGCTCACCCTACCAAAATTCTTTATGTGGTTAAATCCAATGGCTAATTCATTTTTATCTTACTTGGCAAATAAACATTATTTGACATCATAGATCATATAATTTTATCACTTATTTTCCTAGATACCACATTCACAGTTCCTTCTCTATATATTTTACCCTTATCAACAACATTAC